ATCGAGAAAGTCGAGAAATTATTCGACAGTATAAATATAGAAGAGGAGAGAGAGAAAAAAAAATACGTAGTTCGGTAAAACCAACAGGGGGAGCAGAAGGAAAGAAATAAAGGAATGAGTTTACGCGTAACCGAACGAATAAGGTGGAAAAGGAAACTGTTAAACGTTCGTGGTACAAAGTCTGAAACAAGTTGGGTGTAGCTCCGTGAGGGAGCTTCGACGAACAGCTGGCCGGTATTCAAGGGGAAAGAACAAGGCAAGCTTTTTTTATTTTTCCACCGCGCCACCTGTTTCGTCGCTCGGTTCTTGCGTAACCGATTCTTGGATCGACCGACAAAATTCCCGTGGAAAATTCATAAACTGTGCCGAGTCTTTCTCTAAAAAGGAAAAAAAAAAAAAATAAAAATCGTTCCCTTCTGTAATGAAAATTGTAAATTCGCGACTCCAGCTCCTTCCTCTGAATACGTTTAATATTATCTTTTGAACGACTTTCGCAGTGTTTTTCTTGGAGGGAGGGGAGGAATGAGTCGGTGATGTAAAAAGTTTCGGACAAAAGGGGTTACGAGCGAGACGCGTCGTCGATTCGCGGACAAGGGAGAAAATAGGGTAGATAAAGAGAATTTTTTTTTTTTTTGTTACGTAACACGAAAAAAGGACTCGGCAGTGAGCCGTGGTAGGGACGATAACGAGGTAACCGGCGGAAATGACGTCGACGCATTAACGCGAAACGTAAAGGAGAGGAAAAAAATATTTCCGCTCTAAAATATATCTTTACTTTTTCCTTTCTTTCTTTTTTTTTTTACTAAAAATCACCGACTATTCCAAGTTATTTGCAAGGAGGAGGTTGGAGATAAACAGCTAACATTTTTTCATGGAAGGGGGAACAGATGTAAAGTCGTTTTATAATGGTTCACCAGAGAGAGAAAGAGAGAGAGAGAGAGAGAAAAGTGGAGCAAATGCGGACGATTTAACCGATGCAAATGAACCGGCTGCGCGATGATTAAAAGATATAAGAACAATGTCATTCATTCTGGGCTTCTTCACTGTTATGCGTCACTTTCACGTATCGAAAAATCGTTATTTGAATCCTGGTGACAATAGATATTGCGATCTGTGACTCAGTATATACAGGGTGGATGAGAGAAAGAAAGAGAGAGATTTTTTCGCAGTAAAAAATGATCTCTTAGGTACAATAAGTCATGGAAATATTTGATCACTTTCCATAGAAAAATTCTGTAAATATAATATAAATGTTTACACGAAACAAAGTTTTAAAAATATTGTTAGCGATTATTCGGAGTTTCGTGAAATTTAATTATTCCTGATTTTGCTTAATTGCAATGATTAATGATTTTTTCATTTTCTATGGAATTTTTCCACGGATTAAAAAGAAATCAGCCAAACATATTCGTTAATGAGAATTCTCCTTGAATCTGATCCGCTTTTCTCGCTTTTCCCACCACTTGCCTCTTTTCTCGCGCAAGTATCCTGGTAAGTGGCAACCCTCGAATCTCTTCTCCGAGATTCGCGTAATCAAGCCTTCATTCAGCGAGAATGTATCCGGAGTGTACGAGGAGAACTTTCATTTTGCCCGATATATCGTCCAAAGAGATGTTGCCTCTTTCCGGCTATGATAAAAGGGAAAAGTGTCGTTTGATACGGTGACAAGAGATCAAAACGAGAGAAATGTTCCTCGTTCTTGTCAATTGATAACTTAAAATGCGCGTCATTGGATCAGATTTTTGCCCAATTTTTCTTTCTCTGCTCAAGCATCATCTTTCATCCTCTTCGACTAGTGATATCGTTTCAAGAAGATTATTAATTCTCTGTTTGCATAAATACAATTTTCTAAACTAAGAGGAATAAAACATTTTTATATTCCATTTATATAAATATTTCAATTCAATTTTCAAAAGCCTTAAGAGAACGTGATGTTTGAACACCCTTAGCCTAAGCTTATTCCTATGACGTCTCTAAAAGAAAGATCCCTCGAAAAAAAAATAAATTACACAATTACAAATAAACGATACGAATAGAACGAACGATGCCACCGTTCAAACAACCGAGATCTCGTCTCGTTTTCCTTTTCTTTTCGAATCCATCCCCTATATCCTATAATGTTATTCCATCCCCCTTAGCCTAAGGCTCACCTCTTTTTTCCTCGCGAGAAAATAGACGCGTGCGCGTGCGACAAATTGGAATTCCAACAGGATAACCGCGTTTCCACTCTATTCGCTCTCTCTTCGTGCATATTTCGCCTCCTTCCCTGGAGGCGGAGAGTCGTCTGTTCGAGGGTTGAAACGCGCGAAGCAGCCGGTTAAACCCGACGACTTCATCGAGCTTAACCACGGGAAAAGAGCAGACCAGCATCGATGAAACGCTGAGTTTTTATCGCCGACAATCCAGTTGTCGCCTTTTTTGGATTATTATTTTCCCTACGTTATCATTGAGTTTAATTTATATACGTAAAGGCGTATATAAACGTGATATACAAACGTATATAAACGCGTGACTCATATCTCGCGTATTTACGTATTTAAATTTGTCTTATTGTCGGTCGAACGCGATTGTTTCGATTCCGTTTTGTTTATACCCCTTCTTAAACCGTCCTCGTGCGACATAGTGCGTAGTTTAGTACGACACAGGCATCGGCACGATTCACATCTATATATACGTAATTTATTCCTAAATATATTCTTTCTTTTAATCTTCTTTAATTCTTTAATTTTTTAATATTCTTTGTTTTAATCGAATTATTTAATCCGTGATATTGTTATTTTTAGATTGATAATTTCATTTAACCTACTCTTTCTTTTTTGCGTGGAAGATTCAAGAAGAATGTGATATCGAATGTGATTTTTTTTATAATTCTACGATAAAGTGATTCGATATTGTTAATTAATTATCTTATCAAGAATGTTTTGTTCTTGGAAATTAAGCAAATAAAGTTACGAAATATATTGTGGAGAAATATCCGTCCATCTCTTGTGAATTCAACAAATATTATCTTGACATCACGAGGCGATTACGAAAAAAAAAAAAAAATAACCAGACAAAAATAGAATCATCTATTCGTGGGAAGCTGTCTATTTCCAATATGACAGGATGTTTCGAGAGAGACCTATGGTTGAAACTGGGGAGATACATCAATTTTTCTTTTGAATTCACGACGATGAAATCCCTGTCGAGGAAACGTTTTTTACCTCATCGTAATCCAGTATGAAGTGGTAAATATTTGAAATCGTTTTTCCATTATCGAGATATCACGTGTTTTTTCATTTTCATATCATATGTATCATTATTCGTTTTTATCGTTCATCTTTCTCGATTTATATTCTTATATTCTTTACTTACGATTTATTCATTCACTACTGTCGATAATATATGAGAGGGGAAGGGATTTAGAAGAAGTTATGCGAGCGAAATATTAATAAATATGACAAATAATCACAATTTATTTACAAATTATGGATTATTTCCTCCGTGTTCAATATTTATTTTAAAGCGTGCAATTATAACGGGAAATCACGGGAATATATATTCGTTTGCGAAAAAATAAACGCGAGAGTCGACAAAGAAAGAACGGATACGCGATAAAAATTTGTTTTTATCCATATTATATAAATTTATTGTATTCGGCGACGATACATTAAAATTGTAAGTGTTCGAACAAGCCGCAGTTTATTTTACTCACGTATCGAAATTGATGTTTTCTGTCCCCCATTTTTCGATCCCCTCAACTTTCGATAATTTATATCGAGAACGTTTCAGAATCCAATAACAGTTACGTATCTAAATATGTCTCTTTTTAAATTATCGTCTTATTGCGTATACGGTCATTTCGTTTCTATCAATGATAAAAAAAAAATGTATAATGATTCTGTGGTAGGTTTAAAAATATTTCAAAATTTCGAATATCTCGTTCAACGTGTAAATTCTAGATAAGAAATATTTTTTCATAAATCATCGTTTTTCTTAATCATCCATCCAGGTTAAAAACTTGTTTAAATAAATCAAGTAGAAATTAATCGGTTCTAGATCTTATTTACGATCCATGAAATACAACAGAAACGTCCCAAGTTAATTCGTTAATTTTCCAAGGAATCCATTTACCTCTCTTGTCAACGAACAGATTATCTTCCCAATCGAAATTGAAACATCGAATAGAAAAATTATCTTTCCAGTATTGTTTCTTTTCTTTTCTTTTCTTTTTAATCAAATAACACTCAATAGTCAAATTCTGGTCCGGCATAAAATTGATTTCACGCGATCGCGCTATCGGTTTGGACACGGATGGCCATTCCTCCTCTTGTAGTACTATGATGAAGTCAATCGTAGTACTATACCGTCAAGCAGACTCTCGCGCATTCAATTTCGAAACCCAGAACGAACCATGAGAGGGGTTGATTTCAACCCCCTTTCAGCCGCTACTGTGTTCCATTTGCCCGTTCGAGTTTCTTCGACCGTTAAATCTCTTTTTTCTCTCTCTCTCTCTCTCTGACCATTTCAAGTCCAGAGAAACTCGGTATCCATACCTATTTCCGGTTCTTGTCACCGACCTGTCCATCCGCAATCCACGCACGTTTCTAATATCCTGAACCATACAGACGTATCTTCTCTCGAGGTCGTTTCTATTATTCGTTATCTAACGGTTGCAAGGCATTGGCTGCACCCGTTATGACTTTGTTCGAGAATTACAACTCGACGTTTTTCCTTTTCGTTATTCTCTCACGTATCGCGAGAATCGCGAGGGAATCGAAACTCAACTCTATTTCTGGTACCGGTGTCTCCCTGTATCTTTCGTTTCAATTACTTACACCCCGTTGGGAGCGATATGACGGGAGGGGTACGGATTTATGGTAGAAAATTCAAGCGAGGCGAATTATCTTGAACACTTTTGTTTGAAGAAGAACACTGAACGTTCTAGGCGTTTGTATGAATTTAACGCGATAAAAATTATGTTCGAATATTAATAAAAGAATTTAATATTAGAGATTAATTTATTTATTCGCGTAATTTAATTAATTTGCTGTCTCGTTTCCGCCAAATTTGTGAAATTCATGCGAACGCGTTTCATTTTCAATTCCGCTCGTCACTTTCGCTTCGCGTGGACAATCAAATTTCGAAACGGGTGAAAAAATAAATAAATAAAACAAGTATATAATCGAAAGGAACATTCACCGATACTTTTCGAGAGAAGTTCGTAATTCGAAAAAAAGGAAAAAAAAAAAAAAAAATAAATCCGAGAAAAATAGATTGTTTATCGGTTGAATGTGTTTCACGCGTTTGAAGTTTGAAGTTCATCAACGGGGAATCGATCCAGGGCCGTCCATAGTCGGCTCGAAATTATGCGAATTCCCGGGATTTTTCACCGTTTCGGCGGCGAGGTTAAAAACGGCTGTGTAATGTCATTAGCGTGGAATAATGAAATCGGGCCGGAGGAAATCCCCATGGAAACGAGATATTAAAATCAGGGAAACGAGACGAAATAAAATTACGGGTGTTTCCCGGATAATGAAATCCCGTTGCGATCGCAAATTCGAGGCCTTAATTAAACATCGGCCGTTGTTTGTCGATGTATACCCGCTACAAAAGACGCGTTACAACCGTATCCTGTTATATCGTTATATATATATATATAGGAAGGAATCGAATTTTCGATTCATCGTGGAAAGTTTCATTCAATGCGGATACGAGTACTTATTTCATTTATTCCATTCGACTTTTATTTTATATATATATATATATTTTTATGGTAAAATTGATATTCAACACGTTCGAATGGCGCATTAAAGTCTCGAACTGGTGTACCGAAAATCGATCGTATACCGAGCGAGGATATTTGAAATTATGCAAATTACAGGCTAACGATCGCGCGGTTCCCGCGTGATTAATATATGCGCCAGAAGTGATGATCAGCGGTTGCGGTTTTTTTTTTTTTCTTTTTACGATCGAAGACGCCTTTTTTTTTTTTATTTCTGATTACTTAAAATCCTGGAAAGCGTTGTCATTTGCTATACCGTTAATCATGCGTGTCTTCTGCTTTGAATCTCTATTGTAATGAGAGTTTGACTTATATAGGAACAACGATCGATCTTCGCGGAGGCGAACGATCGAAGTGGGTGTATTCATTCTTTTGCGATAACAATGATGTATGGGGATTCCTAGAAATACAATCGAATTTTTTCCAATGCGGTTTTCATTCATTCTTTTCTATATTTTCTCGTATTTTTTTTTTTTCCGTGGGAATCGATTCGTCGAGTTAATTATTATAAAATTTCTTAATTATAGAACGTTAATCAATTATTCGAATTAATCAATTATTCAAAAATTCGAGGAAGTTTTTAGGATTGAAAAAATGAATCGCGTCTAAAAATTAAAATATCGAATTACCATTTTTCGTTTCTTTTTTTTTTTTTGATATCTCTTTTCGCTATTCCGTTAAAAAGAAGAAGAAGAAAAAAAAATAGGGAAATATCGGTTTTATATTTTCAAGAGGCTAAAGACGATCTAAAGAGGGGAAAGAAGGATGACTCGCTCAAAGCGGCACGGTTAACGACGTTCGTATCAATTTCTGTCTCGTCCTATTTGCATTTTTGGGGATGAACCGGTGTCCTCGATTGATCTTCCTTTTTGGACGAAATATTCTTGCAAATTTTCTAGAAAGGATATTAAACGCTTTGGGGGAGGAAAACGCGATTTGAAATTTGAAATTCTTTCAAAATTCTTGGAAAGTAAAAAAGAAAAGCGATTGTCAGTCAATCTTATTTTCTGTTCGGTTGCTTATTAAAGCACTTTCGAGAAACGTGATTCGCCCAAATATCGAGCACAATTTAACGAAAAAATCTTAAACCGTCGCTCGTCGAATCAATATTGATCCGGTTTGTTATTCGAACGAATTGCGCATCAATCTCGATGTCAATTTTTTTAGCTTCCCCCCTTCCCTCTTCCCCAATATTTTCCACGACAGATATTACGCCGCAGATAAACATTTTTTCCGCTCCCCAATATCTGCCGACCATTCTATTTCCAACTTTTTTTTTTTTTAATATTGTCTATTGTGAGGATAAATTTGGATTTATTTCGAGGTTAAATAGTTTTTTCATCGATTTCATCGATTTCGCATCGACAGGCGATACGAGAGCAAAATTTCGAAAATCTGAAAAAAAGATTCGAATCCTCAATTTTAATTACCAAGAGAGATGAGCAAATTTTGTACAAAAAATATACAAAGATAATTTTTTTTTTTCTTTACGAGAGATTTTATTTTGGATATACATTTTTTTCACGCAAATTTTGATTTTTGAAAAATTAGTTGTTATAAAAATCGTATATTCTGTCATCGAAATGAATAGATTTTCAAAAATATTAATTATTTTATCTTCCCACATGACTTATATAAATTTCCTGTATCCTTTTCGGTATCGGTTTTACATTTACCACATAGCTTCATTTTTGTCCCGTACAAGATATTGAATTGTTAAAGAAACTAGGCTGAACGCGATACGATACGATTCACTATGTAAATTCTTCGAATAACGAATAATCTTCCTTTTCACCTCATCTCAATATAAAAGTAATAATTCGATCCATTCAACCTCTGAGTATTTAACGGCAATCGAACCAAATCTCAAGAGAGAGAAGGAGAGAGAGAGAAAGATAGAGAAAGAAAGAATAAGATAGATTTTTCCTCGATGATTCGTAACGATCGACGCGAGCTCGTCGTCGAAACATTCGCTTTAAGAATATTAAACCCTCGAAATCCACGGTTGGATGGAGGGAGAGCAATTTGCGCAACGTTGAAAAAAAGCTCTTCGATCCGCGTACGCACCTATGAAGAGATGAATAAATACGAGGGAAAGTTCCGAAATCGAGCAACAAAGCGCTTTTTCGCCCGGCGACCGACATTTGCGTTTATTCCAATTCCTTTCGGAGATTGAAATCGCAAACGGGATAAAAATTAAAATTTGCATCCGAGTCGAAGCGGTGATGGCTCTCTAACCGTTCTCTGTTAACTTCGACGGTTCGTTCGATCCTTTCATTACTGATGACGTTAATTAGATAAGTAGAATAATTATAGATAAAATAGATAATTATAGAATAATTATAGATAAAAAATTTATGCCTCTTGCGTTATTGCGAAGAGATTTTGGATTCGCAAACGTTGCGTTTCATTTTTCCTCGTCGTGTTTTTTTTCTTTTTCTTCTTTTTTTTTTTTTTGATCCT